ATCGTTAGTAACCTACTCTGGAATTGCCACGTTTAGTGAAGGTAGGAGGGAAACAAAAATATGCGCCAACTTTTGAGAAGATTTAATAACTTGACATCCCATCCCTTTACTAGACTTGAAAGCTGGCAGTTTCTTGTTAAGAGTAATGCTGGGGTACCAAATAGAATCATTGATACTGTGCCTTTGAAAGAGTCCCCAAACTAAGTTATGTGTTCAGCCCAATTCCCAGGTATCCAAGGCAATTTGTGAAAATTCTGTGGAAATGCATATACTTTTATTTATCCAGTAGAAATTAATTCTATCTATTGACTTCCAGGTTGTCTCTACCAAGAAAATTTTTCAGTAGAAATAAAACACATACTCATCTGTTTTGTTACCTGCTATGTAAAATTTTTTGATTTGTAGATAAGCAAATCATATAATTGATAACTCTTTATTACTAAACGTTTATTTACATAGTGTTAAAGACATAATAAAAATAAGTTACAATATAAAAGTGCTCTTTAGAAAGAAGATACTAAACAACAAGGCTATGTTACCCCTTGAGTATTTAGCAAAGACAAGTTTTGCAGGAAAAAATCATGAGTTTTTAACTACTTCTTCATTACACTTATAGAACATCAAACAGGCCATCTGTTTGAAGAAATATCCAGTTATATTTTAAAATGTTTAATTATGAAGAAAAATATAAAATGTGGGGCTGGCCGGTTGCTCAGTTAAGAGTGCAGTTTTGTAACACCAAGGTCAAGGGCTCAGTTCCATGTACTGGCCAGCTGCCAAAAAAAAAAAGAATATAAAATACGTATTAGAGGTAATATAGACTTCAAATCTAATTTTTAGATATGTACTGGCCAGCTGCCAAAAAAAAAAAAAGAATATAAAATACGTATTAGAGGTAATATAGACTTCAAATCTAATTTTTAGTTTTAAAACTGGGTATTGAAACTTTACTTTTTTAGACAGTATAAAAGGCAGAATGAAACAGATGTGACATGAATTTCAGAATCAAGTTTCCTATTTAAATTATAACAATTTTTTAAAAATAGTATTGGAAAAAATATCAAGGGTCCAGCATCTTTTAATACAATCTATTTGAAATTTTCAGTTTGCTAAAAAATAATATCTGCAGCTCAGTCAATGAAAACTGAAAATATCAGGTCGTAAAAATTAATCTTGGGCCTAAACTTTTAGATGTTTTCTATTCTTTGAACAAATGCTCCTGTAGCTTACGTTTGGAAAGACACTGGGAAACTAGACACTTTTTTTTATAGCCCATTTATAAAGTTTGCTTTATCTGTCGATATAAGGGAAAAAAGAATAAAGTATGTTTCATTCAGTTAAAATAGTTTTGGTATTTCTTTGCTCCGTACCAAATCCTCCCTCCCAAAATAAGCAATAAATTACAACTAAGAAAATAAAAAGAAAAAATGTAAATCTCTTCCAGTTCTCAGACCTTTGTATAATACTGTGCAAAATTATAATTTAGGGTTGATTTTTTTCACCAGACGTACATTTTCAAAGTTGTAGTGTACTTTTTCAGAATCCCTCTATTACACTGCTTAATGATTACAGTCTGCAAATGAGTATAGAGTTTGCTCTGTTACAGATCATTGAATTGGAGGGAAAACAGTAAGCTAAATAGTCTTATCAGTGCTCATGAAAGACCTACACAGTTAATTATTTTTCACAGCACAAAAAAAAGGTGATAACTGATTCATCCTGAGGTGGCATTTGTCAATCTATTAGTATTTATGTGCCCTTTTGTAGTTTGATTTAGACTTGTGCTACTGTAAACCTTGGATCTAACCCCTATCACCTAGGATACTGAAAGAAACTCAGTAAAACAAGGTGTGTCACATACTTCAGAGAGCCATAAAAATCAAACTTGTTTAACAGTTTGAATTTAGGATTTACTGTTAGTCAATTAAAAACAGCTGGAGACTTAGCTCAGCTTTTGACTATGAGAAGGAAAGAGTAAACACATTAACTTTAGTTGCAAGAGATGCTGTAAAGAAACTAGTTATGTGAAAGGAAATGTCATGACAGACAAGTTGGCTTTATCTCCTTTGATGCCAGTATACAAGTATTTTTCATGGAAAAATAGAACTAGAATATAACATGAATCTTTCCATCAATTTTTTGAAGTACCCACATATGTGTATACAAGTCATAATCCAGAAGGAGAGTTTAAGGGCAAAATGTAACTTCTTATATTATAAAAGCTAATGAGTATTTGAAAAATATTTGCACTCTGAAATTAAATAAAACCTCAGTAATGAGGTCATGTGTGAGTGGTGGTATCTGCCGGAGAAGAGCCCTATGCTGGCTCCAGAGGGATACTGCTTATCTAGGTGGGTATGTGCTGCAGAACTGGTTGGAAGACAGGTCACAACCGGAAAAGCCAAAGAAAAGTTTCCATTTACTCAAGGAATACTAAGGTTCTTGTTCTTGGAAATCTTCAGCTTCCTAAAATACAAAACAAAAGTTAAAGTTGGATAATAAGTATATTTGGGAAGAATGCAATAGGAGTACCTGGTATGAATTACATATATGTTATTAGATCTATTTGTCCGTCCATTCTGTTTGGGGTTTTTTGTTTGTTTTGTTTTGGCGGCTGGCCAGTACAGGGATCAAATCTTGAACCTTAGTGTTATCAGCACCTAAGCTAACCGGCCAGCCCCCATTCTCCATTCTGAAAGAAAATATTCTTATTCTCTCCATAATTTAACTTTAAAAGAAGTTTCCTGATCCTTATTATGTAGTTCTCAGAGTGAGTGTCCTTAATGCATAGCCTCTAAGTGCCTCGCATGGAGTTGGATGATCCACAGCTCACTCGCACACATACATCTCATATCTCTCCCCACCCCCACCCCATTATAAAAATCACACATACAGAAAAGTAGAAAGGCAGTGTACGGAATTCACCCATCACCTAATTTTAAAGCATTTTTTGTCTTATTTCCTTTTTTTTTGTTTTTTGGCTGAACTTTTTAAAGCAAATTACTGACATTTACCCTTACATTCTCTAGTTTGCATTTTTAAAATAGGAACATTTTCCCATATAACCACAACATTGTTATTGTACTTAATAAAAACTAACAATAATTCCCTAATATTATTCATATTCAAGATTTTCCCAGTCACTCTTCAAGTTTTTTTAGAACTAGATTGTTCAAACTAGTATCCATCCAATTAGGGATCACATATTGCCCTTGATTGTGCCAGTCTCTTAAATTACTTTTAATCTAAAACAGCCCCCATTTTTATTTTCCATGACCCTGACTTGCTAGAGAATCTACTTGATTTTAAAAAGACAGTTGAGTGAAATAAGCAAAACACAGAGGGATAAATACTACATGTGTTCACTCATATGTGGAAGCTAAGAGAGAAAGGAAGGAAGGAAAGACCACAGTAGTGCAGTGGTCTTACAGAGGGAGGGAACATTCCTAGGGCTCCAAAGCGGAGTAGGGGGGAGAGGGGGAGGGTAGTTAGGGGACAATTGGGTGGGGACACGGTATATAAAAGCAATTTCTGATAATTTGTATCTCATGAATATTCTTAATAAATAAAATGAAAAGACAGTTGATCTTGGTAAGAACTCCCAAATACCAAGTTTAATGTTCTGGTTTTACAATACAATCATTTTTCTCCTTATTCTATTTTATAAATCCTCTAAGTTTTTCACTAGAGCTTTAGCCTGTAAAAATGTGATTCTCTTTGCAACTAATAATAGTCTATAAAAATTTCCTCTCATTTAGGAGAGCCAGTTTTACAGGTTAAAGGCATTAATGTTAAGAATTTTCATATATTGTGAGTGTAAAATTCAAGTTTGCATGTCCTGATTTACAACATCTAGAAACGTGTGGACCTATTTCAAAGAATGGGAGAAATTCTGAGCCTATGAAAAATAAATTATCCTACCTTTTAAGCCTGATAAACCTGAAAACTAGAAAAACAAAATTATGCACTACCAAAACTAGATTCATAGTTCCAATAACTAAATGAGAGGAGGAGTTGAAATTGATTTCAGGCCAAGGGTTGCGATCCCCTTACCAGTCACTAAAAAGACAACAACAACAAAAAAAAAGAAATTGATTTCAAAGAACATGAAAGTTCTCCTGTCAAAATCTCAGACATGTCTATTGAGTCACTCTCTTAATGCCATGATTGGTTTATTTTTTTTTAAAAAAAAAAGCAGATATTAATCTTTTTATTACAAAATCTTCATGTATTTACATGTTGAAAGTTTATTATTATTGGTGGTGGTAAATATAACCCCAAAGTCTCAAATAACTTTATAATTCTCTTAGCTTTAATGGCGTGAGTCTAGCTTCTTAATCCTTTGCACAAAA